TCCCTAGCCCCCCTTCCTGATGTACAAAATAAAGGACACGTGTGTTCAAAAATAGAAACTCTCTTTATTGAACAAAATCTGGGGAGCCTGGGAAAAAGAGGTGGGAGTGATACAAAAAATCATAATTTGTCTCATCTACAGGAATCTGCCAGAATACAGACATTGCAGCTAAAGCAGTAAAATACGTTGCACTATCACCAAAAATGTCTTTCCTGATTGGTAACTGAAGATGTTTCCTTTTGATATATTTGTTAAGCACTTCAAGAGGTAGGCATAATCTTAGTGTTCCATTCTTTTTTTCTACTATTATTAATGAGTGCATCCAATCTATATATACGTCTGCGTTCTCCATCTAGTGTGGAGATCATGGACGATGGGGGCATCCCACCAAAACCTGAATAAGGTCCACGATCTCCACCCTGGACCGGAAAGGCGCCTGCCTTCTCCAGTCCCTGTCCGGCTCCTGGGAGCTGGCAGACTGCTCCTGGGGAGTGGTGCAGGGCTGGCTGCCAGTGGCTTTTTGGTTCCATGATCAGTAAACAGCTGAAGCGTGGCTATCGATAAACGCATTAGCTAACTAGCGTGAGTGTAGATACAATTCTTATGCGCATATACGTGCCTAAACTATTCCTTTCTGCAGTGAATTAGCATCTCAAGCCAACACCCTGGCATTCTAGTATTGAAGATGGCACTAGCAATATAGTTGCTATACATTTATCAGGAAAAACCATATGTTTTAAAATGAATATTGATGATTAGTGATGTTATAATGGATCTTTGCAAACGCTGATTATTTTTGCCTGCTAATTCTGGTTTTCTCCTCTTTTCTTATTGCAGCGGAACCTGCAGATCTCTTGAAGGTATTAGATTTTCATAATTTACCCGAAGGGATAACGAAAACAACAGGTTTTTGCACAAGCAGAAGATCTTCAAAAGGCGCAGATGTTGCTTTTCGAGTAACAAAAGATGCTCAACTCAGTGCACCAACCAAGCAGTTGTTTCCTGGTAAGTAACCTTTTGATCTTTCACACACTTGTGTGTCCTGGAATTGCAACTGAAACATTTTGTGGGTGTTTGGAAGGGAAATAATCTACTATTTGGGGTTGATATGGATGGTCTAGTCATCTAATACTTTTAAAATAGCTACAGGTTGATCCTCTCTAGTCCAGCACCCTCAGGACTTGATTGGTACCGAACCAAAGAATTTGCCAAACCACAGAAGGCCAATATTGTCTGGCTACATTACCAACATTTCCACTGCTTACTGGGATGTTAGAAGATATTTAAGGGGTAAATTAGAGCTAAATAACAGCACAGAACAGTGAGAGCCAGGACTGGCGGCTTTATGGGACCACGGGAAACTTGGCCATGTCCATGAAATGTGGACATGCGGCTAACTAAAATCATGCCAGACCACAGATGTTGCTGGACTAGAGAAGTTCAACCTGTACATTCGTTTTTTTTCTCACTTCATCTGAACAGGGATGGTACATTATCCAGCGAACATGCAAACGCTGGCTAATTACATCCATCCCCATCTCCATAAACAAGCTGGTGTTTCTCATTATCATAGAGTGATATCCCCCCATGAGTTGGTATCCCAAGATAAGTTCTTATTGGAAGAAATGTTGAAATGTTAATCAGAATCTTATTATAGAATGAAAATAGCCTTTGTCCCCTAAATCCAGTGAGGAACAGGGCACTTATTAAAAACCAGCTACACTATGGAGACATTTTTAAATTTTGCATTAGGTGATGGAGTATTAAGTGTAAAAAGCGAAAATGTCTCTAAGCAGAGAGCGTGTGGTCTTTGTTTGAAAGAAAAACGGGCCAATGACTTAAGAATTAAGCGGTCTGGCCCCACTTACTGCGGTATGTGGGTTTCTCACAGTCATGAGTGTATTTATTCCCCCAAACAGCCGCACAAGGGAGGGAGTGTTATTATCCACATTGAGGTATAGAGAGAGTAAGGGTATGTCTACACTACAGCACTATTTGAAATTAACTTAATTCGAAATAGCTAAGTTGAATTAAGCTAATTTGAAATAATGCATCTATACACAAAAACTATTTTGAAATAGCATGTCTACACTGAGTGGACCCTGAACCGAAGTTAAGGCTGGCTGGAACCAGTGCCGGCAGGGCATCAGGTTAGGACTTAGTGTGTGGGGCTGCTGCCTGAGGGTAACTGAGCTCCATGCTTAAAGAGACCCTACCCTCACCCCGGACAGACAGTTCTCAGGGTTCCCTGCTTGCTTGTCTACCTCAGTGATGGACCACAAAGGGACCCGACCCCCACCCCGGACAGACAGTTCTCAAGGTTCCCCACTTGCTTGTCTACCTCGATGAGGGACAGCAAAGCAGTCCTGTCTTGGAGTGCCCTGAGTGCCCGCACTCGGGACACCACAGCACTCGGCCACACGGAACCAGAGCTGCCCCTGGGCATGCTGGTGCGTCTCGTGGGGGCATTGCCATCAGCCTGGCTGCACTTGCTGTAGGCTGCCCTCCGGGGGGGTCCATCGGGGGGCTGTCAGGATCCAGGAGGCCCTGCGGGAGAGCGTCCACCCCAAGGAGCCCTCAGAGCCTCCCCGGTCCTCCCCACCGGGGGCTCGTGCCCCATTCCTCCCTCACGTCCTTCCACTTACCCCTCCCTAGCCCCCCTTCCTGATGTCAAATAAAAGACACGTATGTTCAAAAATAGAAACTGGGTTTATTGAACCTCTGGGGAGCCTGGGAAAAAGAGGTGGGAGAGGGGAAGAGAGAGGGTGAGAGAGGGGAGGGGGAAACCTGGGAAGACGGAGCTGGAAGGGGGAAGCAAGAGGAAGAAGGGGGAGGGGAAGCTCAGGGCTCAGGGTTGGGGGTCTCACTGGACCAACTTGACTCATGCTAACCTGCTCCTGGGTTCGCATGTGGCCTTTGGTAACCAGGCTGGCAGCTATCCTGCTATATACGTCTGCGTTCTCCATCTAGTGTGGAGATCATGGACGATGGGGGCATCCCACCAAAACCTGAATAAGGTCCACGATCTCCACCCTGGACCGGAAAGGCGCCTGCCTTCTCCAGTCCCTGTCCGGCTCCTGGGAGCTGGCAGACTGCTCCTGGGGAGTGGTGCAGGGCTGGCTGCCAGTGGCTTTTTGGTTCTTGTTTTTTG